TAATTTAAGTGAATTATTTTTGGCTGTGTTTAGTTTTTGTTTATTATTTATACTAAGTTAAACTCTTWTAATATAAGCCTTGAATTCTGTAATACAACTTTTTATTGTTGCATTAAAGACTGTGTTGTTATAAACACTTTAATATTGATAGAACTGCTGTTTACTTATTTTTGACGCTCACAGTATGTAAGTATTAAATAATTTTGCCACTACTTTTTCTTTTTATTCTCGCTTTAGTTTTGTGTTTATGTTTTATGTTTTATTTTTCCTGTATTTAGGTATCACTATCACACTGCACAACTTGGTCACTTCCAATTTATATTTCTTTGTGTTTTGTTTAAGGTTTATGTTCTTTTTTTTTGGCTTTGTGAAGACCGACAACCGGAAATTGACAGGCAATTAAAAACGAGAATGGTTAATTAAAACGAAAACGAAAGTCAAATAAAATATTCTTAGCTCACGCACTAAGTCCCTGCTCGGGCGCCATGAAAATTATCAAGCGTTTTTGAGAAGCGAAAATATAACTTAGGGAATGCGCGAATAAAATAAGAAGCATAATTGCCTGTCACGAAAATTACGATAAAAATGAAAACGCGTGCGTACGGTTCCACAGTTCAATTACAAGAGAGTTCTTTATTTCACTTAATCTAATTGCTAAGCCTAAATCTTAAAACTAACGGCTTAAACTAGTAGTAAAATAAATATGTATTAAAATGGGGTAAGTATAGCATAATATATAACTCTTCGACTATCGTTAAATATTGTAACAGATTATGGTAGGTATTAAGGTAAGTAATAGATTGGTATTATGAATGCATTATTAAGGTAAGTATTTTATAATAGATTTTCTTAATTTAATGTTTAATAATTCAATATTTTACAATTCACTTAATTATTTTTGTTTTAGATATAGATATGTCGTTTGACGCAACACCAGGTTTGCCATATTCGCATTTTATTGAAAAAAAGTATTAAAGATTTCTTTAGAGCTGGATACTAAGCTTTCAAGACAATTTGTATCTGCGAACGTCTTGCTAGTCAAATTAGTTGTTCTTGATAGAGATATCACTGCATTCGTCCACTGAACTGTTTTTGATATTATTTCGTCAGTAAAAAAAGCATTGAAGGACGAAATCGGATCACATAATGCTTTACATGCTTTTGTGGGCCCTCTTATTGTTCAAACAACATTCATCGATGGAACTCTACCGGCATTTATTCCCTTCGAGGTAGTCGGGAAATATTGACTTTTGGTTTTTAATGTTAGCTGAAGTACTGTTATTATCCGGCTGTCTGAAGACGAACTATTATTGTTGGATTCTTCGTTTCGGGCCTGGCAAAAAATTTTCTCGATTCTTCTGCACATTAATATCTTAAACTGCCGCGTCACTTTGAATATCATCTGCCAATGCGGCATCTCCTATTTCACTTTCATGTTCTGAACTACTCTCATCTTGATTTGTTAGATACGCAGCTATTGGCGTGTCGTCTAATATTCCATCTTTTTCTGTTAGTAACGAATATTCAATCAAAAATTGTAAAAATAGCATAAAGCATAAACATACGTCTCGGAGACGTATGGCTTGGCAATTTCTCAGAATGTACAGAACTTACCACCAAAAGTCAACTACCATTGGAATGTTGGATGTAACGACTGAGAAAAATGCAAATATGCATGCGTTGTGAAAAAAATTGTAGGATGGAGAGCAAAATGCAAAAAGGTCATACGTCTCTCAGACGTACGATATAAAGGCAGGGTTAACTCGGCTATAATCGCGTAAGCGGTGTCTACGCCAGTAAAGAAAAAGTAGATGCAACGAAACAATCTAACCACCGTTTTGAATACCCAGGTATTCTTACCCTGGGTCTGCTCTTGGATAATCTCAATAACAATTTATGGCAATTTTGCAGCTCAAATGGTTAAGATAGCTACCATAACAACAACAGAATAATCCCCGTAGCGTTGGTTTCATCGAAAGTCTTTAACACATACAACGCTACTTCACGACAGAGAACAACCAACGTTCCTTCCAGGGCTGAAGTGGTGTACCATGATCAATCATTCATACTTTTTCGAGATCCCGTGTCCTCTCCCCGTAATTATTTAACTACTACTACTCTGCCGAGTTGACAGTCCTTGCCCGGATAAAAATCCGGATCCGTTCCGGTTTTCGTAGACCCGACTGTCGTGGGAACGGAAAGAGAACAATCTCTCCACAGGCGCTGAAGATGTCAGAGACGTATTAAAGTAGAGCGAAGCTTATTTTAACAAGTCATACTTCTGCCACTAAGGCCAAAGTCACTATTTATATCACGTATTGTGTCATAGATCCGATCAGCGGTATATTTTCCAAAAAGCCGTTTGCACGCCAATGCCGCTGATTTCCGTTCGAAGTCCTGTGTTAACCAATGGCAAGTGTAACCAAAAAAGCTTTCGTGGTTTCCAGACCAAATATCCGCATTTGTATATATGCTTTTATTTTGGTCAGCATGTTTTCATAACGTGTTTCCAATTTTTTCATTGCAGTTTGCCTGCACATAATTCTTCTACCAGTGCCTTCAAACATACGTTCAAAGGATGGTCTGTCCACAACAAAAACAGGCGATGCTGAATCAACAATGAAATCTAAAACGCTGTCGTCAAAATTATTTTTGGGCGAGCCATGATAGTCTGACTACAAAATTTTAAACTTAATGTATATGTCCGCATGTTTAAATTTAAGATGCGTAATGAAATTGGAAGACACATTTTCAAAACCACGAATTCTTTTGCTACAAGTTACACATTTACCAATGGTTATTTGTTTTTTATCGCCATTCATCTGATAAAAAAAACAATGTTTATAAAAAGTTGAAAATTTTTGTGGCTACGAACAAATAACACAAATCAAGGAACTACTTACACTCACGTCTTTTACTGAACCAGTACATAGATAAATAAATCAAAACAATACAAACTTTTTCGAAATCAAAGTAGAAGTTTGGCTGGAAAATTGTCTTATTCTAGTACGCGGCTTCTATACAAGCTTTCTTCACAGTCGGACCATCTTCAAATACTTTTCGCTTCGAAGTTTCTTAGGGGGTGGTATAAGTACATCCTTAAAAATGTCGTCACTTGAGAAGTCATCACCACTAAACAGTTCATCCATTGTGTCAGATTATGCGAAATGTTAGGTTATACATTTTTCAGTTGTCCAATTCATTGTATGGTGTTTTTATAATTCTTATAAAAATACTCACACTTAATCAAGAAAGTCAACAGTCGATGATAAAATGTCTTTAAACAATCAAACAAGACTTAATACAAAATGCTTTCCCTCAACAAAACAAAAAACAAAACAATAAAAAAAAACACTCGCAAGCCCATGTGTATAAATAAGCAATATCCATTGGCGAACATATGTTTACCACTAGTAAACAAACAACAGTAGAGTTGCTAAATATTAATAATATTGCTTACGCTCATAATATAAAATATAATAGCACATGAAATAATGAAATGTTTCTAATTAATGAAATATTAATTGCCATTTAATCTATTTTAATAAAAATTAATCAAAATTTTTAATGAAACTAAATTTTTGATTAAATTTTTTTAATCTGTAAAATAATTTTTAAAACTAAATTAATTCCCTTTAATCATGATTAAATTTTGATTAAATTTAAATTCAATCATTAATTAAAAAGGAAATAGCATTTAATCTTAATTAAATCAGTTAATCAAGTTATAAAAATACTTTAATCAAATTATTAATGATTAAGATTATTAATCGATTATTAACAGCTCTGAGGGGAACTGTGGGACAGTATTTTAAACCAAACGAAAGTTTCAGACAAGCCGATTTTTCAATCTACTCTTTTAGAAAATAATTCGATCTGCAGAACTTAATTGAAGAACGAAAAAGTTGAAACCATCGTTGTGCGGTGAAAATGGAAACTGTATCGGGTCCATAAACTGCACAAATTTTATTGGCGGCTTGAGATGCATTTTTGTCTTTATCGTAGTAGTACTGTAAAATATGCCGTATTTTCTCTTTATTTTGCTCCCTATTTGCGACTCTATAACTCACGAACGACTTAAAAGAAACGACAATCAATGAAACACGTGTGCACGTGATGCGACGATTAAAACTAGAACTACGCGCTCTCGGTGCCAACTAGCGAAAATACCGCAAGACTTTTTTGACAACCTAATATAAAACTAGAAAGTGTGAATAATCTCTGGGCACGCCTTTTGGCAGCGTACAGCCCGGGTCCCATTATCGGCGCAAGGTACCAATTTTCGGCGTATTTCATGTACCGATAATGTGACCGCATTAAATATTATGAAATACGACAATTATGGCCGATATTGCACCGATAATGTGAACCTATAATGTTTGATAAAGAGCAATAAAAATTGAAAATGCGCAGATTTTTATCGTGTACTTGCGCACCGATCGAATACGCCAATCACCACCAATATTTCTCATTTTCAGCAAATTTTTAAGTATTAATTTGAAAAATCTTTATCAATAATTTCTAAATTATAAAGTTAAAAAAAATCCACATTAATCCACGTCATGATTTTTTAATTGATTCTCTATTCCAATCGAAAAAACAAAATAGACAAAAAGATCGAGTCGAAGGTCTTTGATTAATCGAYCTTCGACATCTCTACTGGTTGCAAACATATGTAAATAAAACATATGTTCGGTAAGTTGCATACAATAAAATTAAAATGCATTATTATATGAAGTAAATAATTAATAATTTTTAGAAATGAATTCAGACGACGAAGTTTTTGAAGGTATTATGGACAATGTGTTTGACGAAACCACTTCTTCCACCCCCAGCAAAACAAAAAGACGAAAAAAAACCACAAATAGTGTCATCATGGACATATGAAAGCACAACGAATTTGATACAGGCCCTTCAAATGAACAATTGTATTTGGGAATATTCCTGCCCAGCATATAAAGATCGTGCCAAAAGAGATAAAGCTTGGAATAACATCGCGGAGAAATTTCCAACCCAAGAAGTTGACGGATGCAAAGCAAAATGGGCGAATATAAAAACGGCATTTTCAAATGTAAAGAAAAAATGACAACCAAATCAGGCCAAGCGGCCGGTAAAGCTTTGCCACATTGGCCGTTTTGGTCAGCTATGCAATTCTACTGTTTGCATGATGGCTGCAAGAGTAGTTCGTCCGTCTCAATTCGTTCTATTCTATGGATGCAGATGTAATGCCCTCACTAACAGCTGCCCAAAGTGACACAAAATCCAAACCCTCTGCATCTGATAAATCAGTGACAACAGATGCAATGGAGAGCGCACTACAATTTTTAAATAAAGGAGAAGACCACTGGCATGGAGTGGGCATGTAAGTTAACACACCATAGTAGCCAACAACAAAAGAACAGCAACAACACGCTTACGGACAACATTTCAATTCCACCGAAATCGCTGACGATGCGTCTGGAGCAAAGCGTGCGAAAATTATTTTTCAAACTACAGAAGCCAGGTACTCCACTGCCAGCGATATTGCTGACGACGCGCTCAACGAGTTGCGCGTGACAACAACAAACACCTATCGCTGCTACTGCGCTGGCAAGTCACGCGGCAGAGCATGTGCGGTTTATTCAGACAGGTATTTAGGCGTAGTCGCCGCTGCAATAGATTTAAAAAAGTTAGTTGTAATTACTCGCTCAACCTTTACGGCTGCCCTTGCTCCAAAGCAAGGGAAATAAAGAATATTACAAATATCATAAACAACCGGTCTTGTAATTGGCGCTCAACGTGGGGCCACAACAAAATCCTTGCAAAGGATAATTTCGTGGCCGCGGTGCTCGGACCCACGCCAAGCCGAGGCGTAGACATCGAGGGACTAAACTAACAACCATCAAGGGATTAAACTAACAGCCATCGAGGGACTAAACTWACAACCATCAAGGGACTAAACTATTACTATTAATACAATATGAAAGAATCTATGTAAGTAGAGTGCTCGAGATATTAACATATTCGTTGAATTAAAGCATCAGCTTGAAAAATATTAATATAAATATTAATTTAAGTAAAAATTGTTTTGATTTGAAAATAAAATTTTTTTAAGTGAATAAAGAATGAGAGGAATATCGAGGAACATGGACGAAAATATTCTTCGCGCCGTGCTGGGTGCCGCTGTGCGGACAGCAACGGAGCAGACGAGACGAGACTTCCAAGCGACTATTGACGAACTTACCGCTAGGYTAACACTAATCGAAAGACCGGTTCAGGTAGAGGAGTATAGGGAGATTGCAATTGACCCCACTGTTAGGTGCGATAAGTCGCTGGATGTTGTAAAGTCGTTGCCGGAGTTCAATGGTGACCATTCACGATACGTGTCGTGGCGCCAGGCGGCTCATACCGCGTATAAAATTTTTGAAAACGCGCAGGGCAGCTCGAAACATTACCAGGCAGTGGCCATTATTAGGAACAAAGTAGTTGGATCTGCGGATGCGACACTATCGTCGTTTAATACAATTCTCAATTTCAAAGCCATAATAGCAAGGCTCGATTTTACCTACTCGGACAAAAAACCCGTCTATATATTGGAACAAGAAATGTCCACCCTCCGGCGGGGAAGACTATCTATTACAGCATTTTACGATGAGGTGGGAAAGAAACTAACGGCTATTATCAACAAAAATTTGATGACCTACGAAAACAAGAAGGACTTATTGGAATCGCTTAATACCAAGTATCGTCAGGACGCATTAAGGGTGTTCATATCGGGTCTTAACCACCCGCTGTGCGATATTCTATTTTCGTCAAAGCCAGCTGACATGGCATCGGCCTTGGCACTCGCACAAGAACTGGAATCCAACCAGACGCGCTCACTATTTGCTCAGAGGTTTTCAGACACTAAATTCCCAGCCAATGGCATGCAATCACGCAATTTSACCGGAATGCCGTTAATAAGCCCTCACTTCTTTAGGCAGTCAGGCGRGCAACCGCAACAGAGACCTATTTCCAGGCCCACCCCAATGGATGTGGATCCAAGCCTCTCTAAACTCAGATATCCAACGCAGAATATAGGTTCCAATTMTAAAGCAGCACCACAAGTGGTACAACCATCAACTTCCTCTCCTATCGCAAGGAATTTCCCTTCAGGAAGAACAGCCTTCGGGAACCAATACCCGAGAAATATTATAACTTCTGATATTCAACAAGCACAGAAAAGACAACGCGATAGTGACCGTGCTAACCTAAATAAGATATAACGCTTGAACCATTTAGGACAAAGTACCGTGACGGACGATATTAATGGGGATCCCAACTGTTATTGCCAACCCGAATATTTTGATGACTATGCATACAACCAGAACTCTTATACTGACTGTCCACCCCAAGAAGAAACTACAGACGAGATAAATTTTTTAGGGGTAGATCCCTGCTACCATACGGCAAGAACGAAGTCACCAAGAAATGCAATATAAATATTTTTAATACAAATACCTCATTTTTCATTTTACCGACCCTGCATGCTTTCGACGGTATAATCGGCTATGACCTTCTACGAGAAATAGACGCCAGACTGGACATGAAGACATAAAGAAGGGAATTATTAATTATAGGGGCTGTTCAGAAAAACTAATGTACTTCTATTGTAAGGATGTTAACAGCATCATTTCCAATGAAGACATCGAGCAATTGAAATTAAAACACGCTGCTGTTTTTTCCGACCCAAATGAGTCCTTGCCATACAACACAAATATCATAGCCACCGTACGCACGGAAGATAACGAACCAGTTTACGCCAAGTCGTACCCATACCCAATGGCAGCTTCCGCGTTCGTGAACGAAGAAGTGAGTAATCTGTTGCGCGACGGCATTACAAGGCCATCACGATCGCCTTATAACAGCCCAGTGTGGGTGGTGTACAAAAAAGGAACAAACGAGGCAGGGGAAAGGAAGATGCGTATGGTAATAGATTTCAAAAAACTAAATGCGAAAACCATCAGCGATAGATACCCCATTCCCGATACTTCGGTCATTCTGGCCAACCTGGGAAAATCATCACTTTTCACCACTATAGATTTAAAATCCGGTTTCCAC